AAAGGAATATCTTAAAACAAATAAAAATATCACTTATTTCTCACTTTTGATATTTTCTATCCGATATTTGGACATAAATCTATCTTTCCTTTCCTTTCTCTTTTCCTTTCTTTCTCTTTCTTTTCCTCTATTTCGTGCTTTTTCCTTCTGGCCGAGCATGTCTATTTATAGTGAAAGATATGACTTAAAATATATACATATATATGTATTTAATATTAATCAATTGGAACAATTGGACAAGAGGCATGTGGGATAAGTTACGCAAACCAATGCAGAAGTGGGCAATTTCTGGATGTAGTGCAAGTGAAGACAAAATTGATGTAATTGGTACAAGTGGGTGGGTCCCACTTAATAAAAGAAAAAATAAATTTTGCACTCAATTTTTACACTTTGTGAGTTTTCACTTTACACTTGGTCTGTTTCTTGTGATTGCTGTTCTCAGCCCAATACTGGACCATGTGTGAGCCTGGCTGGTCTGTAGTTACCCATGATACAACCACTGGTTTTCCATCATAGCCTCCTTCAGATATATGTACTTGTTGAGGCGCATTATAGCCATGAGACACCTTGAAGACGTCATTGTCCAGCGACAAACCTTCCTCACGAAGCTGACAAGCACCATCCCCTCTACTTTCCCAATTGGACAAAAACTTTTCCATTTTAACAGCGTACTTCATAGTATTGATTACCTCGTCCATAAAAAGAGGCGGACCCTCATATTTGGTCGACTCCTCGTCATCAAAAAGCTATCGAACATTATACGTGGTCGACCTCTCTTGAAAAAAAAGAAGCAGACCCTCATATCCGGTTAATCACTGCTCATCCTCAAGAGCCCCTTAATTGTTGGAAAAAAAAAAATTCTTGTATCTACTATAAACTAATCATCTGTTGTTAGCACGTCGAAAGGCGCTTCGTCTAAGGAACTCTCCAAAAATGACTATAAAATGCTATTGTAAAGCTGCGTAATGCTTATGCAAACATACTTAAATGAAATATTTTTAAAGATTAAATCAAAATATAGTATTTCATAATGTACAAGCAACGTAACAAATCAATTGCACTAATAGCTGTTTCAATGTCCAATTTAATCAATAGCAAATATTCCCCCCAAAGTTTGTTATATACTTACCGCAATATATTCAATTTCGTGTCATACTTGAGCCCACAAATTAATAAATACAAACAAACATGTATACATATGTCATTGACCACTTCCTTGAAAAAGAAGGAACAAAAACGTCATACTTAAAACTAAAATAAAATAACGGCAATAAAGTGATCTCGTGTCTGGTAGCCCCAAAGTCGTGAGAATCAAACCTGTCCACAAGGACCACAAATTTGTTACCATCAAACTAGTTGCATACTTGCAACTCTCAATGTCCACACTGAAGATCCTGTTCACAATTCTGTTTTGAGGGCAATTTGCAGGAAACCATTGTTTCGACTAATTGTCGCAGGTTCATTAGTCTAAACTGAGATCACATTGACTTTACTAAACACACAGTAACTATAATAAAACCCGACTTTTGATCATTATACAAGCAAAACTCGGTGGATATGTGACGTGGATTTTTTTTTTTTTTTTCATACACGAGGCAACCGACTAACATATCCAATTTAGCAGCCGGTTAAATTGACCGGTTTTAGTGAAAGGACAAAAAATTAGGTGCTTTACAGTTACATGGTGTTTTGCATAATCAACGCAATCACAAATTATTTCTTAATTTGAGGTCACTTAATTACCAAACTGAATCTCTCTCTTTTTTTTTTTGGGCAATTTGCGCATAGAGATTTGGAGATTTGGTTGTGACTTGTGACGCCAATTTTCATAATGTTAACTAAATACAGATGGTTTTTAGTGATACTTAATATTCTGTGTACATGCACAAATATATATAAGATATTATAAGTAATATGTAAGAATATAATATTAAAATTCTAGATGCACCTTAGTGAGGTTCTATACCAAAATCAGTTGGTGTTGAGAAGAGTAGCCCATTAGACTTATATATAGACTCATTTTCCCTATATAATCAATGTGGAAGAACTCACAAGTGATATTCCAACACTTTTCTTTTTTGGTGTGTTTTTAGTTCTGTTTTGATTTTAGGAAAATCCTACTGTCCTGTTACGGAACCAATCATTCGGAGTTTTTAATCGTTAGATGCACGTCTGAATCAAAATGTTATATTTTTTTCCCCATTTCTCTTTCTTTTTCTTTGCCACACGCTTTTTATTTTATTTTTTTTTTCTTTTTCCCCATTTTGAACACCTACTAGACAATAAATAACTTGAATACTACATGGTTGCTTGTGAACCAATTCATTACTCGATCGAGTCCAAGCGAAAGAAATAGTGACAGTGTAATGGACAAAACAAACCTGACAACCAAGTCAAATGAGACCCGTGAGCAAAGATATATACGAGCATTGAAAGAAGATTATATAAGACGGCAAATGTGAAATGCCACAAATCTTGAATTCCTAATGCCATAGCTGTCATGAACGGATGAAAAAGACCAAAAACTATGTGAAAAAATTATGGGCAAATTCTAATCAATTTATATTGTAATAATTTGCCTTTAGCCCCTGAAGAATGTATTATTTATCGAATTAGACTATATTTGATAAAACTTGCTGATAAGCTAGCTGATAGTTGATAAGTTAGCTTATAGCTTATCAGCAATTTTTTAGCTTATAGCTTATAGTTTATGACTTATAGCTGATAAGCTAGCTTATATGATAAAAGTGTTTGGTAAAATTAGCTGATAAGCTAGCTGTAATAAAAAATTCAACTAGCTTATTTGAAAAGGTACCTAAGGAAGCTTATCAAATAAGCTCGAGCTTTTTAAAAAAGCTCGTTCTACCAAACGAGGTTTATTTGAATATATGAAGCTTATAAACTAATCAAATAATTAAGCTATAAGCTAGCTTATTGGTCTACAAAACATAGTCTTAG